AAAAAAAAAAAAATTCTGGTCAGGGAGTATGGCAAATTTTCAAAAAATTCATCAAACTGAAAAGACTACATTTTAAAAAAAAGAAAAAACCAAGGGATTCATTTTTAAAAAAAAACTGAATTTTTAAATAAAGCCACGAAACAAAATATTGAAAATAATTTACATGTGATCACAGAAAAAGTACAAATTCAAGCTCTGATAGTAATTGTTGCTTATGGCAGAGGGTTTCATACAAAATATATATATATATATATATATGTGTGTGTATATATATATATATATATATTTTCATAATTATTAATTTTTTAGGAATTGTAAGAATGTTTAAAAATTCTAAATGTAGGCATAGCCATATACTTTCCACATAGCTTTGATACATTTATAACAGTAAAGGCGGTTTAATTTGTAGGCACAGAAATTAAATTCCCTATTATAATTTATCCAGCTATATATTTATCATTTTTATTTAATCTTCATTTTATTTAAAAATTAAAAACAGCATTTTAAAGAAAATGTTAAATGGAAGGCAACCTTTTGACAGAAATATAATAATAAAAAGGGGGAAAGCTTTGGCCTTCCTTAACAGACATGGTGACATAAAGTTTTGATCAACTATTAATCATTTTAGGGAAATACAACAAAAGTACCACCAGATAATGTTTGACTAGACGAAACAATAAATTACATCAAAGGCATTTTTACATAACCAAATAAACAAGATGATATTTTTACGTGCACAATCATTGGTGTGTTGTATAAATTAAGACACCATCTTATGAGAATTATTTAAAAGTTTATATCAGAGTATATATATATACTGATACTGATATCAATTTCAGGCCTATATATTTATTTTCATGATAAGATCAATTTTCGGATTTTATTTTTAAAAGTGTTGTCCAAAGAAGTAATTTAAAACAAAAACGCAACTTTTTTTTCAGTTGCTCTTTTCTAGTGACACTCCATGATACTTTCAACCTTTCTTTTTCAACTCTGACCTGGAAAGATGACGTCTTTAGAAAAATAAGTATCTCTCACATAGAGTTAGACCCTTCACACAAACATATTTATTATTTTATTATTTTTAATTGAGAGCTTAACTAGATTATAATTATTTTTTTTTTAAATGCCTCACTATATTGAAAGCTGTTTACCCAATCTAATCTTCCTAAGATTTCAGGAAGATGTATTCACAAGGACTATTCAATGGTTCATGTTCATAGCCTCATGTCAAATTAAATGAAACCTTATTGATTTAAAAATATTAAAAAAACGTCATTAAATTAAAGGAATAATAGAAGCACACAATGGGAAAAGTAAGGGAGAAAAGGAGGGGGGGGGGGGGGGGGGCAGTATTACAATCATAAAACTACAATGGATCTCCAATGTCGCAGATCCAACCTGGCAATGGAGAAAAAAATGTCATTAAATTAAAGGAATAATAGAAGCACACAATGGGAAAAGTAAGGGAGAAAAGGAGGGGGGGGGGGGAGGGGGCAGTATTACAATCA